CTTTAGGCATTCTTTGGTCCTGGTTCTCCTACGGGCTGCGAGTAGGTACCCTAAGCAGGATTTTTTAATTTTTTATTTCTGTGTGTGTGTGCGTGAGGGGGCTAGTTTGAACGAAGGACTCACAAAGCTACTTTCTGCTTCCTCATAGCGTGCCTTCATGTGCGCACATGAAGGCTCCCTACCTCCTCAAACTTCGCCCTGAATAGCCTTTGTCACGCTGCTGTGGCTTCCCTTGGGCTTCCCACTCCCAGTACCAGATCAAAAAAAAAAAAAAAAACGAACATTCCACAGAACTGTGCATAGAAAGAGATTGACCTTGTTTTCTACAGCTCCGCAAAAATCTTTCTTTGTTCCGTTCGAAAAAAAAAAGCTAATTTTACTTTTGTCATTTCATAAAAAAAGGCGTGTGCCGGGGGGGGGGGGGGGGGGGCGCCCGTGAACAAATTGTAACGGTTACAAGTAATTTTATTACTTCAAAAAGTAATCAGATTACTCTTCTGATTACTGCCTAATAAAAGTAATCAAATGATTACAAAATTACTTCAAAAAGTAATCGATTACAAGTAATTTGATTACTTGTAATGCGTACGGTACAAGTCTGCCAACAGCGAAGCCCAAATTCGGCACTTGTTTTTTTTATGCAGAGAAACGCGAAACTTACCAAATACTGGACTGCCTGACTGAGGTGAAAGAAGACTACGAAACTTTTACTTTAACTAGTGGCGTTCGGCTTTTCTCCATCGTGTATCGTCCCCCGTCGGCCAAAGTCAAAGCGTATTTATCCTTTTTAGATAGTTTTGAATTTGCATCAACAAATAATTCTTCTGTTGTTCACGTTGGCGACTTTAATATTAATATAATGGAACCTTTGCAAACTGGGACCTAATTTAGCAATGTTCTGAGCTCTTTCGGAAACGCGAATGTGATTTTTTCACCTACTGGAACTCTTTTTGAAAGTGAAGGCGTACTGGATCTCTTCGTTACAAATATGGGCCAAATATTTACTGCAGCTGGTACGATCAGTTGTAGCATCAGCGAACATATTCCTTTTTTCCTCGCCTTTTGTTGCTGTGATTTGAAGTCCAGGGCGAAATCAAACGTTTTTTTCTTTCCAACCATTAACAGAACACGGTTTACTGCATCTTAGAAACAAAATATGTGCACTCGACTTGACGACTTTGACATTACAATCCAACGTTAATGATGCCTACGATACATTTTATGACTCGTTCAAGAAGTGCTATGAGGAATGTTTTTCGTGTGAAGTAATATCTCGCTCGAGGAAATCAGGAAAACCTTGGATTACACTTGGTCACATCAAAATAATTAAAAAACAAAGAATATTGTTCAAAAAGTTTATTTCCTCGAGACACCCAGACATTTTAGCATCCTTCAAAAAATATCGAAATATATTAAACTCTATACTAAAAGAAGCAAAAGCACACTATCAGTCAAACCTCTTCAGATATAAATTAAAAATTTCTCCTGCTGTGATATGGAAATCTATAAATGAGGTTCTCCAGCGTGGCCCACGTAAAGATGAAATAGGGGAGCTACTGATCAATGACCAAATGCTATTCGGTGTCCCACTGGCAGAATTCCTACGTTGTAAATCTTGTTTCAAGCACATATAATGAAGATGCTGCTAAATATATCACACAGAGCCCAAGCTCGTCCCTTTTCTCAATCCAACAAATGAATTTGAGGTCTGAAAAATATTCATCCAACTCAAAAATAGTAACAGTCGTGACATTAGCGATTTTCGAATGAAACTAGTCAAGCTTGTCATTGACATAATTGCATCGTACGTAGCACATATATTTAACCTCAGCTTGGATTGCGATGAGCTCCCCGCAAATATGAAACTTCCCAAAGTTACTGTGACTCAAAAAGGAGGTGATGTGAACATAACGACCAACTAAATACCAATATCCATCAAGCCAATTTATTTCTAGGGGACTAGAAACGCTTGTCAAAACTCGCGTAGAAAGTTTTCTTTATCGAAATGAAATAATAACTGACGCCCAGTTTGGTTTTAGAAAGGAAAGGTCGACAGAGTCAACGCTCTTACTCCGGAAAGAAGTAGTTCTAAATAACATTCAAAACAAGCTTTTAACACTAGGCTTTTTTTATTGGTTTTGGTAGGGCATTTGACTGCCTCAATCATCAAATACTCCTTGATAAATTAAAGTGCTATGGAATACGTGGTCCAGGACTCTCACTCTTGGATTCCTATCTCTCCAATCGCCAGCAGTGTGTCAGCATCGACGGCGATCTTCTTCTATCGAAGCCGTAACCTGCGGCTGCCTCAGAGTAGCATACTGGGCCCTCTGCTCTTTAACATTTTTTTTTTTATAAATGACGTGGTAAGTTTTAGTACTCTTGCGCAGTTTATGATATATGCCGTCGACACCAGCCTTTTTTGCGTCGGGCGTAGACGCAGAAGGCTTGATTATTAAGGGGAACGATATTCTCGCGCACTTTGGCGGATGACCTGATGTAAATTGCCCTAAAATTAATGTAAACAAAACCAAGGCACTCGTATTTCGGTCATTGAATACGCACGTCTCCTTCACTAAATTCCTTACCTTAAGTGGTACAGTAATCTCTATAGTTAAGCAACAAAAAAACGCTTGGCGTAATTTTCTCTGAGCATCTATCGCAGGATCGCCATATTGATAATTTGGTCAGCAGGTTGTGCAGAGTCATTTGCGTTATTACAAGATGCCGCTCAATATTGCCTGTTAAGACTAAACTCATGATTTATCATGACCTTTTCCGGCCTCATAAAAATTATTGTCACCTCGTGTGGGGCACAACAACAACTTTGAATTTCAACAAAATACTGTTACTTCAAAAAGGATACTACTCGTCATCGCGGATGTACACTACCTATATCACACTAAACCTCTGTTCGAAAAATTCAAGATCTTTGCCATTGCAAATATGTACGTATATCGTCTTTTGTATGCTTTCCTTTTCGGAACAAATGAATTCATTAAATTCTTGGGGGCACCTCGGACTTGAATAAAAATGAAATCTCAATCAGTATGCGCTGCTCTGAGATATAGTATGTTCCTCATTTCCGCACGAATCATGCTTTACAATTCCTTCGCCATATGTTACGTTCTTTACTCAACAGGCACGATCTAGAAAACATAGATATATACTCTCTGACTAGAGCTGAATTGTATCAGTGTTTTATCTAACGCGGATGTCCCTGTGTGACTTTTTTATTTTTCTCGATTTTACTTAATATGCTAGCTGCCGAACGTTCCTGCACTCTCACTTTTTTACTGTGTTTAATGTTACTTAAGTACATGCCTAGTTAACAAGAGAAACCCTTTATGCTGTAAAACGAGTCTTTTCAATGTATAACACTTTTCAGCCAGATTGCTATCTTTGTTTTGCTTTAAGGCCTCAGACCCCTCAAGTTACCATATGGTAGCTTTTCGTCTGGAAGCCCGCCAGAGTAAATTTCCGAAAATAAAGATTTCATTTCAAATTAGGGCCAAGATACCAATTCTATGGTCAATGGTAACCAGATGCGGCTCTACCTTGCCTTCTTCATGTTTTACAAAGCTCTAAATTCCCAGAAAAAAAGCTTTTTGCTCAAAAGGCTGTGCTACCTGAAATGTTTTACTGCTTAAAAAAAAGCTACTAGTAATACCCCATTATTTTGCAAATATAAATTATGTTTTCAGTTGGACACCAAGGGGAAGCATCGTCGTAGACACCCATTTCCTTATTAACTGAAACAAATTATTGGTCTTTTTTTAATTACTTCATTTATAATAGATATGTCGTTATATAGGAAATTTCAAAGCGGCCGTAATGCTGGGTTGTCCCGTTCTATAAAATTGTCGTAACAATCACCGACTTGTTTTAAATGTTATATTTGTAGGAATTCGTTTTACAGACTTCATTTGCTTACGATACAACTCACTTAAACTATGCAAATTATTGGAAGCACAATCAATGAGTTTACTTGAGGAAAATAACTTAGCGTAAAAAGATGTTTTGTTTAGGTAATTTAACTTTTAACGAGTTGGGTCTAACGTCCATTCACGCGGAAATGAAAGAGCGCCACTTTGAAATAAAACTTTGAGAATCACACTCATCACCCATTCTTGTCTCCTTTAATTCGTCGTATGTGCCTAATGATCTTTTCCGCTTCGTCTTCTAGAATATAAAATAAATGATAACGCACTTTAAAGGAACAACATGAAAAGATATGAAAAAAAAAACATTGCTTCGTTTTTTTTTTGCGTGGGGGGGTCAAAGAATGAATGGCGCCGTGTGAATTCCATATCAATACTCTTTATCTTTGCTGCTATTCATCCGACTACTGCTCACTGTTAAACATTTTCTTGAAATGTATTAATTTCCTTCTGTAATTATGAGGGTAGTTAAAATAACTGGCTTGACGTCTGCAGCTCCAAAATAACACCCACTCGTAGACATTTCGAATCCTTTTTTTCGCCATCTACGCGTTTACGCAATTGGCTATGTAGCCTTGATCACTCCCTCAACGCAGGTGACACATTCCTGACATGGCAATCGCGAATGCATGACCATTGCGCATTTATAAAAGTTCTTATAATATTTGCCTCGAAGCGAATGTCGTAGCTGGTCACGTTGGGAATTACAGGGCTGTGAGGGAACCAGAACAAATGAAAAGATGCCCTGTTCGTCCATCAAAATTTTCTTCGCCTTTCCTTCCTGTCTGCCATTTCTAAATGGCGGTAAACGCTTTGTACTGTCTCATGCAACCAAAGTGCCTTTGCCCAAACCCTGCCGCTGCCAACATATCAACTATGATTTTGTGACTACTTCTTTTACACCTGACTTCAAGAAACATCAGAGTCTGTGGTTTATAATCATATATTACCAGGGCTAGTTATCGGGCAGCTCAAGCTACGAGCAAGCTAGCTTGAAGTCTAGCTCGCACGCAGCTTCCATTAAACACGTCTAATATTTACCTCTAATGTCAAGCTTACCCGAACTGACCATACGCAGGAGGAGTCCTGAGACAAATCCGCACTTGAAGATCGGAAGCATAGTGTTGAAAAGGCTCCCGACTAGATCTGCTTTCTATGCTCACATTTCCTTAACCTTATATAATACATGAGCAACACCTTTATGAACAGACGGTGCTGACGTTCATTTCTGCAAAAGAATAACTGACATTTTTGCGTTGATGAAATTCTTCAATTGCTCCTAAAGTTATGACGTCAAAAGAAACGAATTGGAATGGATTGTTTTCGACACCATATGTGCCAAACTGATGATGTGTCTGAACTGTTGAGTAATTACACTTTTTAAAGTACATTTATGTCTTCCTACCAACATGTGCAACGTTTTTTGTTTTTTTTTTAGAAAAGACAAGAAATGACTCTTTTTGTTGCTAACTTCTAGCCGTAATAGTATATTAGTAGCTCGATAGGAAATCTGGCAACACTCTGCCCGGGACCGCACATGTAAAACAGGGTGATTCCACGTCAGCTCATGCAATGATGGTCCGGGTCATAATTTAGATATTTTTGTTAAAACTATATATGAAAGCCATGTTCTTGGGAGGAACATTCAGCTAGATATGAACGCCGTAACATTTTTTTTTTTGCTGAGATATAAAATAGAGAAGCTTGAGGCGTGGAAATTGAGAAGATTTCACAATGCTACTTTGCACAGTCGTCATTTCCTTATCGAACCTTTCACGGTACCATAACTTTTTTAATAGGTGTTACAAAGGTTATACAACACATACATAAAAAAATTAAAAATATCCATAAAATATTTCAATGCAAACAAATATATCAAACATGGCACAAAAACGCGTTTTAGAGACATATTCACAATTTTTTTTGCAAATAAACCATCTTTCATAACACTTCACAAAACATATCAAAATGCGCTTATTTAAATGTTATTTACGAATATATAAAGATAATATGCCCACCCTTAAACGTATTTTTGTTATCAACGCGGAAATTCGGCTGATTTCTCAAAATGTGGCAAGATTGGGCGTCGATATTAAAAAAACTCCATCTTTTATTTTCTTTAAACTTCCCTTGGCACTTTGCAGTCACTTGAACTAACCTGTGATGGCAAACGATTGAGTAACATATGACCTCCAAGCGGGAAAAGCTACGACAAACCTTCACTCGGAGCGAGCCGACGTCTTCGTCACAGCGGCTTTGCCACACAGCACCAAACGTTTGGGCGTTAGTTATGGCATGTATTTTATATTATTAAAATTCTTTTTTTATACGCGGTGAGTATTAGTGACGTGAAAAGGAACTTTGATCTGGAATACCACTAATTAGCTTACAATTCACAGGAATAAAACGGCCCCACTCTGCAAATTCGCTACCTATGCATCACACATAAGCTTAAAACTCTCAGTTGCGCGAATGGCCATGTATATATCTGGCCTCTCGGCATATGATGACTTTCACAGATGAGTTTCCTGGATTCCTTTGACAGGTTCCCCTTTTTCCGGCTTCGCGTCCCTGAACTTCTCCCGGAAGCCCTCGTCTGTCAGGCGGAACCTCTGAAGGAGCGCCTTTTTAACTTTGTCGTAGTCAGCCCCGAGTCTTCCGGGATCAGTCGCGAAAACACCCCGAGCGCCTCTCCGGTGAGGCAGACGCTAAGTACGGTGGCCCACTGCTCCCGTGGCCATCGCTGTCCCGTGGCCAGCCTCTCAAATCTCAGAAGGTACGCGTCCAAATCGTCCCTGTCCTCGTTGAATGCTGGCAACCAGCGCTGGGGGCTCTTTCCCAGAGTTTGCCCGGCCCCTTCGGTTCCTCCACCTGGTGCTGGCGGAGGCGTCGCCGCGTTCTGGGCTTCTCGTAGTTTGATCTGGGCCTCTTCGAGTTTTACTCTCAGTTAAAGCAATCGAAACTCCGCATCTTCTCGGGCTCGAGCCTCTTCCTTGGCTGAATTTCTTTCTTCAGCCCTTACTTCTCTCTCTAGGGCCTTTTCTCTTTCGCCCCTCGCCCGCTCGGAGTCTACCCATTCCTTGAGGGCTGGACCTTCGAGCCCGAGCTGCTTTTCGTACGAAATATGGTCGCCTACCTCCATGTTTAGGTCGGACCGTACAATCCGTTACACGACGCGGCTCCCTTCAACAACCCAAAAATCACTATCCGTTCTAAGGAAGCTGCCTCTATGCTCGGCTCTCTCTCTCGTCATGGAAGCCTCTCCACCGTGGTCAGCAAGTCCTGTCGCGGACTCCAATTTATGTCACAGGAAGGCGGTAGGCCTCCCGAGTGACGGTGTGAAAGAAGGGGACCGCTGACCGAGCGATAGGGCCACGCTCTGGTGGAGAGTCTTACCAATGAAGAGAGACGGAGGCGTGTGTGGGATATATAAATGACGTTTAATTTGACAGGGGTTTAGTAGTTAATTAGGTGCTATATAATATGCAAAAATCACGTAGACATCAAACGGCAGATAGCACAGGTACACACAGTATAACGGTTTACAATTTCATGCTCGGGGTTGCCTGGACAGTACTAGAAAAATACTAAGTTTAAGAGAGTCCTAATGGTAAACTAAAATAGAAGAATAGGTGAGTGCAAAGAAAAAGTCTCATCTGGCGTAGAGATCCTGGCGTCTCCCTGCGCGGTCCGTCTGAGGTGGAGAAATTCCGGCGGGTGGCTTGGCACACCGTGGGCGCGGTTCACTGGCCCCGCACGCCCACTTTTGCGGTCGCACACTCACTGGAAGCTTCGTCCGGTGCCTGGCGTGGGGCCGTCGACAGGTTCTCGCCGCATCCCTCGACGTCGCGATGCGACTGTCCGCCTTAGAATTCTCTCTCGCACTCTCAGTCCTCGCGACCCCGCGGTTCCCGCACTCTTTTTGTTCCCACGGTAGGTTGTTGCCCCCTCGGTCTGACCCCTGACCCTAAAGCAGGGTTCTTCTAAACACTAAGACCCGCCAGGCAATTCGAGCGTGGACGAAAAACACATTCAAACAACGAGCCTCTAGCTTGCCTCGTAAATCTGGGGCTGCAGAGACCTGTGTACCCCCCAAAGCCACTCTAGGTTGTGTATACCAAGAAACACCGAACATGCGGTCGCTTCAACGAAGCGCTCCCTGTGTAGCCTGACACGCGCCTGGCCGCGAGCTCATCCGCCGAAGGTGGTCGTTTACTTCCCTGGCCATTATTCTTCCGCAGACGTCAGCACGACCCCCGTCGGGTAACCTCGCCCTCTGGGAAGTATTTGACAACCATGTTTCTTGACAGCCAGACTATCGGCACCTGCCGCGCAGTGTCTCGGATGGTTCTCCCTTCATCAAGCACATAATACAACAAAACCAAGTAAGTAAATAATTAATCTACAAGTATCCGTGTTCATTTTCAGCGGTGCGTTGAAACCCGGGCGTCGAACCGGTTATTATTTCGATTCGGTTCAGGCTCAATAGCTTTTTTTATATGTTCTTTCGGTTCGGTTCCGCTTTAGTCATAATTGCGAAATATCGGTTCGCTTTCTGGTTTAACCACCAACAGACCGGTTTGAAACGGTTAATAACTCTATACTGGACCATGTCTGCCCTCGAATTTCCTGCGGTTCTTGTTGAGAATTCGGTATCTGCAGTAGACGGGCGCAAAAATGAAGCTTAATCTTTTCATCACACCAAAATAACTTCACTGAATGAGAAAGACACATATAACTGTTTTGTCAATACGTGTTAACCACGCTGGGTCACCAGGCATACTACGAATACCATCATTGCGCGTGCCAATGCTGGTCACTTTTTTTTACTAGAGTGTAAAATAGATTATTCTTTTTAACGTCAATGTCTTGGTAACATGTTACAGATTATTTAGTTATAAAAAGGGTGTGTGTGGAATAAAACTTGAGCTTCAGTAAAATGCGAAATAACGCAAGACACGCTATATTGACATAAGAAATGCCTCTTGGATTTTTTGGATCTGCTTATGACGACAGTGAAGACGCACGCTATATCCTAATCTTAGTAGCTAAACCAACAACTTTCAGCAATATTTCTGCAAAATAAAGAAGAAACTTTGTAGCTCCCGGCCGCTAAGCATATCGTAAAAAAGAAAGAGCACGAAGACGAGGACAAAATGAAAGGTAACTGACAGGACACATCGCTGACAGGACAGAGGGCTAAAAGCAAAGTGAGTTGAAGTTGGTGTCGTCTGCTTTAGAAGTGTGACAGAATTCTAGTCGTCAGGAGTCGCACTGTGGGGGAGAGGGGGGGGGGGGGTGCTACGGCCAGGCTTCGTCCAGGGCGCTTGATATGTAGGGCTGGCCCTGAACATATCTGTGCACAGCTCACATCTAAGATGACAGCACATCATATACTCGGGTGATAGCAAAACCCATTGCTTCAGGAGCCTTCACAGATCTGAAACAGCAAGATAAGAGAGGCTGTGAATATCCGTGACGCTCGGCGCAAAAGCTGTGATGTGAAACTCCAGGCTTGGTTTTGAATATTTAAGGATTTTCTACTTATAAAAAGCAACTTTCACGCGCTATTATTCATTAGCAATGGAACTAGAAAAGTTACACATGTTTCTTTCGAAAATAAAGTTTTTATATCGACGGAGATGCGAACTAACATAGCAACTTCATGCTATGCGTAGTGCAAGTTCGTCTGCTCCTTTGCAGGGGTTCTGGTGACGTCAGAACGGCGAGCTTCGATTAGCTCTGATTGAAGAAGAGCGGGTAAAACTCTAAGCAAGCTGCCTTGAGATCCACCCACTGTCCTTCTATCATAGCCAATCAGAGCTCGGCGTTCTGACGTCACCACAACTCATGTAAACACCGCAGACGAACTTGAGTTTCTCCTTTCATAACTCGTCGTTTGTCCGAAGCCTACGCGCTCAGTCATCGGAGAGAGCCCGCAAGGTGGCGACACCAAAGCTTCTAAGCGTCATCACTTTTTTTTTCACAGGAAGCACTGCCTTAGGAGTAAACGGGGGTGCATCAGTTATTATGAAAAATGGCGGCAAGTATGAGAAATCGTAAGTGGCTTTAGAGTTGACAATGCATCAATACAAAGTTAATACCATTAAATATGGGAATGTACGTTGAAGTCGGGATTGT